GGAACTTTAAGCATAGTTTTGCCTTTGATTCTGATTTGATTCTACATGGTATTTGGAACGCTGACAATATGAGCACCTGTACCACGGTTTTTCTGAAACCCTAGAACAGTGGGTCTCAACCTTCCTAATGCCGCAACCCTTTAATACAGTTCCTCATGTTGTGATGACCCCCAACCATAAAATTATTTTATGTTTTCCATATTTTTTTGAAAATATGTGTTTTCCAATGGTCTTAGGCGACCCCTGTGAAAGGGTCATTCAACCCCCAAAGGAGTTGCGACCCACAGGTTGAGAACCACTGCCCTAGAAGAACATGTGAAGCTGGTACGACTAGTCTTCGACAAACCTCTAGCCGCCAAGCTATACGCAAAGTGTGAGTTCCACAAAACCTAACTAGATTACCTTGGCTATCACATCTCCAATGAGGGGATAGAGATGGATCCAGGAAAAGTGAAAGCAGTGTTAGACTGGAAACCTCAAAGTACTCACAGACAGCTACAGAGTTTTCTTGGATTTGCCAATTTCTACAGGCAGTTCATTCCAGCTTTTGCGGAGATTGCCCTCCCATTGACTGAACTATTAAAAACGGGCCCTTCCCTGAGAAAGCCAAAAGCAAACCAACCCCTAAAGTGTACAATGGACTGTCAAAAAGCATTCGAGAAATTAAAACGGCTCTTTGCACAAGAGCCCATACTGCAACACCCTGACTCAGAACAGCAATTCATAATCCAGACGGATGCCAGTGATGGAGCAGTAGCAGCAGTGCTACTGCAAAAGAATAAAGAAGGACACCTCTTGCCATGCGTTTACGTCTCCAAAAAACTCACCACTACTGAAAGGAGGTGGGCCATTTGGAAGAAAGAAGCGCATGTGGTCAGGTGGGCCCTACTCACTTGGAGACATTTCCTGGAAGGGCGGAATGTGCTGTTCGAAGTCTGGACCGACCATAAAAACCTCAAAGTTCTCAAAAGCCCTTGAAGACTGTCCCCAAAGCAAGTTCACTGGGAGCAATACTTCTGAAGGTTCAAATTCGAACTGAAGCATCCCTGCAGGGAAGAACTTGTTGGCAGATGCCTTGTCAAGAAAACCGTAGTACGACAGTACGAAGGAAGAAGTGGTTCACCCCATCCTTTCTTCTTCCCACCAAACAGCAGCCCAAGTCACCACCCAAAGTCAGGATAAGTTGACGGCAGCGTTTTTTTGATCGGAGGGGTGTGTGGAAGACGCGGAGGACATTGCTGGGCTGAGGCGGAGGCTGCCGACGTTCCCGACGCTTCCCGGGGGGAGCTGCCGACGCCAGCGTGGCTTGAGAGACGCTGTGGCCAGGCGTCCAGGAGATTCGTGCTGGAGCTGTTTTTACCGGCTGCTGGAGTCCATCACGCCCCGGGGGCTGAGGGCGCCCCGGCTGCNCCAGAGATCATCGATCAGCACGACCAAAGCAGTTTCCGTGCTGTAGCCAGGCCTGAATCCAGACTGAAAGGAATGTCATCTAGATACATTAGGACCCCTTTGTATGATCTGCGCTTTTGGCACCAATTCGGGTGCCGCTTTTGTTTGCTCGAGTCCTTCCCTCTCTTTCTTCTGCTGGTTAGGATTGCCCTGCTTCCTTTTTGGAGGTCCCTTCCCTGCCATTGCTATGCCTCCCTCTCCCTTTCCCCAATGCACAATGGGTTTCCACTTGGTCAGCCAGGATAACCCCAATATCATAGCTTCTGCCATTTTTGGGGTGACCACAAACTGAATGCTCTCTTGGTGGGTTCCTAGCTTTAGATGCACCAGTTCTGTTAGGTAGAAGGTGGGCATGTACCCCACAATGGAGCCATCAACCTTGAATTTCATGGGTTGGCGTAGCTTTCTCACTCACAATCCCAACTTCTGCATTGTTTGCATGCTGACTAAGCTTTGGGTGCACCCTGAGTCTATTAGAGCTTTTACAACTCCTTTTGCCTTTCTGAATGGGATGCTGCAATCTCTATTTGGTGCTGAAAGAAGGGTGATGGTCTCACTTACCATTTGGTCATCTTCTCTCATACTATGGCTCTTGTAGAGGGTCAATTGGGGCTCCTCCTCAGTCAGAGTTCTCTTCCCTTCACTGCTGAGGGGGAGAACTCTACGACTTGCCATGCCACTTGTGACTTCTTCTTCCCCTGCTTGGAGGCTTCCTCAGTTTTGTCGGGCATAGGGATCTCACAATCAAAATGGGTGCTGGTGCCAGGCAGATTGCTGCTCTGTGGCCCCCTTGATCACATTGGAAACATAAGATTAGTCTGTGCCTCGGGGCTTCAGAAGGGGCAGGTGCCTTCAAAGTAGTGGCTTTCCATCTGAGCAGACACCTCTCCTGGCTCCTTTTCAGGTGGCCTTCTCATCTGTGTTGTTTATATTCCACTAGGTCTAGCTTCTAGAGCCTAGATGGAGAAGCTCCTTACCATCAGTAAAAATAAAACCAAGAGCTGCCTGTGGCTCAAATCATGAACTTCTCATTGCAAAATTTTGGCTTAAATTGAAGAAAGCACTAGGCCACTCAGGTATGAACTAAATCATATCCTGATGAATATGCAGTAAAGGTGACAAATAGATTTAAGGAATTAGATCTGATAGAAGAGTGCCTGAAGAACTATGGATGGAGGTTCACAACATTGTACAAGAGGTAGCAACTAAAATCATCCCAAAGATGATTTTTGGAAGAAAACAAAGTGGCTATCTGAGGAAGCTTTGCAAATAGCTGAGGAAAGAAGGGAAGTGAAAGGTAAGGGAGAAAGAGAAGGATACATATAATTGAATGTAGAATTCCAAAGAATAGCTAGAAGAAATAAGAATGCCTTCTTAAATGAACAGTGCAAAAAAATAGAAGAAAACAATAGAATAGGGAGGACCAGAGATCTCTTCAGGAAAATTGGAGATATGAAGGAAACTTTTCATTCAAAGATGGGCATGATAAAGGACCAAAATGGCAGGGACCTAAGAGAGGCAGAAGAGATTAAGAAGAGGTGGAAAAATTACACAGATGAATTATACAAGAATGAGCTTAATATCCCTGATAACCAAGATGAGGTGGTCACTGAAGAAGAAGGAAGGGTGAAACAGAGTATTGCCCTCTGGCCATTCATATCCGGAAAGAATCTGGAAGAAGAGCACCTGACACCATCTAGACTTGGAGGTGGAAGGCAATGAGAAAATCTAGAAGGCAGTAATGTAGGAAAATAAGGGGGCAAGGCAGAAACAAATACTTCTCATGCTAGAAAAAGCCTTTATGACCAGATGACTTCCAAGGTACCAAGAATGCTGACTTGAAAAGGTATGGGGGAGGGGAGCTGCAATTAAAATTCTGGAGCACAGACAGATGATAAGGACTTCAATGTCTATGTACTAAAGTCAACAAATATTTTTATTTGGCTTCATTCTTGTCTTTAATGAAGACATGGATCTAAACAAATAGCATCCAAAACCATTCTGGATAGTAAGCCAATTTCTGTATTACATGACTGAAAAGATACACAACCATCCCTTCATCTAATGTGAACCCTGATATTAATTTTTATTGTGAACCTCTGTAGATAATGAGTTTCTTTTTATTTATTTCTCTTTGTCCCCCTTCTCTACAGCTACCTCTTGTTAAGTCTCATATACTGGCATTCCTTTCTATTTTAAGTAGCAAATGATAATACCTGAAGGTCTAACATAGAGACATATGTGCAATCTTACATTTCAGCAGAATTGCTGAAATATTTTGTTGAGATGATTTCTTAATGGGAAAATCATGCCATATTTATGTTACAAATCTTTATCGTTATTAATTATTTTTAGGCATTTTTATAGCTTGATGCTACTTAAACACCTGTCACTGCTTGCTTCACAGTAAATCAAGTTTCTACTTTTTAATTTGTTTAGATTATTGGAGTGAAAGTGATAAGGAAGAAGTAGATACACCTTCAACACCTAAACAAGACAGTCCACCTCCACCATATGACACATATCCACGACCTCCTTCAGTAAGTGATTATGTATAATAATTAGTTGTTATTATTCAGAGCTGTCTGCATGAATCTTGTTTGGAAATGCTTTCAAATTCAAGCATCACATGTTTACAGCACATATGAGCATTCATGATGGATGATATCCAAATTATCTTTTGTAGATGCTTGCTACTAGGGAATCCTGCTTGTACATTTTTCTGTCAAAATATAGGCAAACAGCCTAAATCGGTGCAGAAGCAAGAACAATAGAAGGACAGGTAATCCTGGGTTATGAGCCTTCTCTTAGTGAACGTTTGAAGTTACGCGATTAGAGCCCCCTAGCATTTACGAACAAGTCCCAAAATTATGAATATACTGTGGCAGCACCACAGTAGTTGTTCGCTCTTACAAATGACAGCAGAGGCTCTGCAACTTTCACCCTGCCCAGCTGGGTCTTCACAGGCACTTTGACTATAGAGACTCACTTAACTTGTGAAGATCTCCTCTGTCACACTTTCCAGTTTCATTGCTTCAGGTTTTCAGTGCGTTCACAGAGAACAGAGGCCTAACGTACCATGAGCGCATGTTACTGATCTCATGTGATCTCATGCTTTAGGCCTCTATTCTCTGTGAATTGAGGCCTGGACATTTGCAAATGGATGGAAAGCTTCAGTCCTTCAGTCCTCCCCTCTGTTTGCAGTTTCCTTGCCAAAGTTTGCATTCCTGTAGGCTTTGGAAGCTCTTCACAAAAAGGTTTTGTTGGCATCAGTGGAGCTTGGGAGGAGTGTGCATGTCCTTCCAAAGCTCTATTCCTTTTTGAAAAGGGCTGCCAAAGTCTAAAAGGGCTGCCAAAGCCTGAAGTGCTTTGGCAATGAGAAAGGAGGCACGGAGGACCGTGCATGGCCTTCTGGGTCTCCTTTCTCACTGGCGATCTACTTCATGAGGCCTCCAGTAACAAAAAAGGAAGGCTTGTCAAGTGGAAGCCTCATCAAGCATATCACTGGTGAGAAAGGAGGCCTTCCTGGACTCTTTTTTCATCACCGGAGGCCTCGTCAAGCCCTTTGCTGATGAGAAATGAAGAAGCAGGCAAAGAACCAGGCTGGAGAGGAGACAGATCTTTATAAAATAAGTCACCTGGCATGGCAGGATTGGGGGGGGGAGCAATTGTGGGGACCCTAGGAGAGGGAGAAAGAGGCATCTGTGGGTCAGGGGAGGCCTTGCGTAGTTGGAAGCAGGTGGCCCGTTCCATCACTAGGCTACCCCATGGCCTTCCCCACCCCAAGATACCTCATGTGCACTTAATGAGCCACACATTTGATTATAGAATGTGAAAGCGAAAGGAGGGAGTGATTGTAGTATGAGATTCACTGCTACGAATCAGGTTATAAATGGAATGGGCAAGTTCCAGTACATTCATAACTCGAGGATTATCTGTAAATTGTTAGCTAAAGCTGATAAAGCTTCCAGTTTCCATTTGAATAGCAGAGCAGCATTTGTTAAAATCTTAGAATATTCAAAAAAGAACTAGTTTTTATTGCATATTGCCAAACTTAACTAAAATATAAGCAAGATGGCTTTGACCAGTATATAATATTTTTTATCTTCAGATGGAAATACATCAATTCTTTAATCTTTTACTTGGAAAAAAAATTAATTTGGAAGATGGATGTTAAACTTACAAGATATCTAGATGTTGTATTCTATATTTTAAACAACTCTATAAGCCATTTCTGGCAGCATTCAAGTCTTTGAAGATAAGTGATGCTTACCTATAATTCCTGGTCTTTCCAGGGAGTTTTGTTACATGGCCTTTACCCTATAAAAACCTTGGTATTGCAATAAATAATGTTATTTTTTTAAAGTTATTATTTTTAGAAAGTTAAAGAAGTTAATAAATTTAGAAATTGCTACTAACTTAGCGGTTCTAAAGACGTGATGATTCTATTATTAATATTTACAGAAATAATATTCATCTGGTCCTGATTCAAAAATGGTATATAATTTACTGGATAATTAAGCAGTGTAATTAAACATAGATGTCCTAATCTGCTCAACTCTTGCCTTCAATATTTCAATTTTACCTGTTGGGTTTCCTTTTTAATTTCATTCAAACCAGTACCACCGAAGTGACTAAGGTTTTTTTTTAGTGGTTCCACCACAAAATCGCGTTCGACTAAAGCGCGCTTGACGAAACCGCATAGTTGACGTCATCACAGGGCGACAACAGCACGGAGA